GACCTTTACCTAAGATGGAGTAACAACGACAACTGTGTATCCACATCGACCTATAATATGAAGTGCACGAGCAAAATCTACATCTCCCAAGATTAACAAAAATGATACAAGTCGGCGATTATCCAAAGCAAGGAGGTGTCGACAAAAATTACCTTGTCGGAGCATCTTTCCTTCCGTCGGGAATGTATACAAGTATGACACGCCCTATGACACCACTCTCGTAGTCACTTTAAAAATGTGTTAAAATGTCCATATTCTGAAAACATTTTCGTTGATCCATGAATATTGTAAATATCCATATTTCATCTTCAGCACAAAAAAAAAAATAATAATAATAATAATAAAATCCTTCTTAGAAGTCTGGAAATCTTTGATACCCCATAGTCACACACACAAAGACCTCCCAAATGTTTTCTTGTATGTTTGAGGAAGTTTGGATAGAGATAAACTTTCTCTTGAAAATTCTAGTAACTTCACAACTTGTCCCTTAAATAATTTAAATCTCTCGAGAGCACATTCGGGTTCCAGTCATTCTGCTCTTTTTCAGCCACTGTACTTGCTGTACACATTTTCTTTTCTTCAATTCGATAAGGTATTGTTGTTTTGCCCTGGGTACAATCCTTTCCTCACTGGTTAGTCTAGACCAGTCTCTTAGATAGTTGCCTGCATTCCTTAAAGTGGAGTAGACTTTCACCTAATATTGAGTAACAACGATAACTATGCATCCACATCGATCTAGAATACGAAATGCAAGAGCAAAATCTACGTCTCCCGACATTAACAAAATTGACGCAAGTCGGCGATTATCCAATGTAAGGAGGTGCTGACTAAAATTTCCTTGTCGGCATCATCTTTCCTTTCATCGGGAATGAATACAAGTTTGACACGTGCCCTATGACACCACTCTCTTAGTTGTTTTGAAAATACGTTAAAATCTCCATATGTTGAAAACATTTTCATCGATTCATCAATATTGTAAATATCCATATTTCATCTTCAGCACACCAAAAATAAATAAAAATTAAAACCCTTCTCCACCGGCCAATTTAGACCAATCCCTTAGATAGATGCATGTATTCCTTAAAGTGGACTAGACTTTCTCATCCGAGATGGAGTAACAACATTAACTGTGTATCCACGTCGACCTATAATATGAAGTACACGAGTAAAATCTATGTTTCCCAAGATTAACAAAATTGATGCAGGCCGACAATTATCCAAAGAGAGGAGGTGCCGACTAAAATTGCCTTGTAGGCAGTATCTTTCCTTCCGTCGAGAATGTATACAAGTATGATATGTCCTATGAAATCACTCTCTTAGTCGCTTCAGAAATGTGTTAAAATATCAATATTCTGAAAACATTTTCATTGATCCATCAATATTGTAAATATCCATATTTCATCTTTATCACACCAAAATAATAATAATAATAATAACGATAAAACCTTTCTTAGAAGTCTGAAAATCTTTGATACCCCATAGTCACACACACACACACACACAAAGACCTCCCAAATGTTTTCTTATATGCTTGAGGAAGTTTGGATAGAGATAAAGTTCCCTTCGAAAATTTTAGTAACTTTATAACTTGTCTCTTCAAATGGTTTAGATCTCTCGATGGCACACTCGGGTTCAAGTCATTTGCTCTCTTTCAGCTGTTGTACCAACTGTACACGTTTCATTTTCTTCAATTCGATGAGGTATGTCCTGGTGCACAATCTTTTCCCCACTGACCAATCTAGACCAATCTCTTAGATAGGTGTCTGCATTCCTTAAAGTGGACTACACTTTCACCCAAGATGGAGTAACAATGGTAACTGTGTATCTAGGTTGACCTAGAATATGAAGTGCATGTGCAAAATCTACCTCTCTCGAGATTAACAAAATTGATGCAGGTTGGCAATTATCCAAAGCAAGGAGGTGCCAACTAAAATTGCCTTGTCGGCAACATCTTTCATTCCATCGGGAATGTATACAAATTTGACACATGCCCTGTAATACCACTCTCTTAGTCGCTTCGAAAATGCGTTAAAATATCCATATGCTGAAAACATTTTCATTGATCCATCAATATTGTAAATATCCTTATTTCATCTTCAGTAAACAAAAAAAATGAAAAATAAAACCCTTCTTAGAAGTCTAGAAATCTTTGACACCCCATAGTCAGACACACAAAAACATCCCAAATATTTTCTTGTGTGTTTGAGGAAGTTTGGATAGAGATAAACTTCCCCACAACAATTCTAGTAACTTCACAACTTGTCCCTTCAAACGATTTAGATCTCTCAAGGGCACATTTGGGTTCAAGTCATTCTGCTCTCCTTCATCCGGAACAATCTAGACCAATCCCTTAGATAGTTGTCTGCATTCCTTAAAGTGGATTAAATTTTCGCCCAAGATGGAGTAACAACGATAACTGTGTATCTAGGTCGACCTAGAATACGAAGTGCATGAGCAAAATCTACGTTTCTCAAGATTAACAAAGTTGATGCAGGTTGGCAATTATTCAAAGCAAGCAGGTGCCGACTAAAATTGCCTTGTCGGCAGCATCTTTCATTCCGTCGAGAATGTATACAAGTTTGACAAATGCCCTGTAACACCACTCTTTTAGTCGCTTCAAAAATGCGTTAAAATCCCCATATGCTGAAAACATTTTCCTTGATTCATCAATATTGTAAATATCTTTATTTCATCTTCAACAAACAAGAAAAAATAAAAAATAAAACCCTTCTTTGAAGTCTGGAAATCGTTGATACCCAATAGTCAAACACACACAAAGACCTCCCAAATATTTTCTTGTATGCTTGAGGAAGTTTGGATAAAGATAAACTTCCCCTCGACAATTCTAGTAATTTCAAAACTTGTCCCTTCAAATGACTTAGATCTTTCGAGGGCACATTCGTGTTCAAGTCATTATGCTCTCTTTTAGCCACTGTACCTGCTGTACACGTTGCCTTTTCTTCAATTCGATGAGGTTTTGCTGTTTTGTCTTGGGGCACAATCCTTTTCCCACGGACCACACTAGACCAATCCCATAGGTAAGTTGCCTACGTTCCTCATGGTGGATGAGACTTTCACCCAAGACGGACGGAATGGCAAATGTTGGAGAAGAGAGTTATTTGATGATTTGAAAAATATTTGATAATATTGAAGAAAATATTATTGCATGATTTGGAGAATATTGGTTGATTGTGATTTAAAGAATATTTGCTAATATTGAAGAAGATATTATGGTATGATTTGGAGAATGTTGGTTGATGATAATTGGAATGTTTCCATATGTTCTTTCTGTGATTATCTCATCTTTAATAAGGCAACCTTGTTGTAATATGACTACATATATGTGTCATTGTAACACTTCAAATATAAGTGAATATAGTTTTCTCTCTTCTCCCGTGGATGTAGGTTTGCCGCATTGGCACCGAACCACATAATTCTTTGTATTCTTTCTTATATAGTGAATTCTTCATGGTATCGGAACGGATGTTTTGATCCGGCCAACAGTTCGAAAAAAAAAGGAAAACAGAAACAAAATTTTTTCTCTTTAGTTTTTTTAACTTTGTGCGACTTGCACGAAAACAACTGTATCTCTCAAACCGTAACTTGGAATTGTGCAAGGTTAGTGCCGTTGGATTCGTATCGTCCGTATCTAGCTTTGTAAGCCAAATCTGAAAGTGAATTCGTGTTTTCCTGTTATATACCGAGATTGACATTAATCTAAATTCAAACAAACAAAGAATAAATAGCATCTGTGATATCTATTGAATTCTCAAATACTTACAAAGGCTATGTAGTTATAGCAATTGCCATCCAAATAAGATGGATTACAAAATACTTGAACACTAACACATTAATTTTTTGTCTATTCTACTGGATAATCTTGTCTAATAAGTTTGGATTATTATTGGACAAAGACAGGTGTCGGGGATAGTTCAAAGTTCTTCAATCTCTAAATTTAGCAAATTAACTTCGTCAACAAGCCTTAATTGGTTTATCAATTTTGTTCTCAGCATTTTCCTCAAGAGTTACATCATTCTGATTGGATAAGAGTCTATAGGAATTAGTGGCCTGTCTATTTCCTAGACAATATTTACGAGATACAAAATAAAGCTAGCATGTAAAGGAGTATATTGCTCAACACAAAGAAAGTTGGAAGGTTTATTTCCAAATGTGCCGCGACTTCAAAAATCTGATGAAGCTATCTTGTCATGGAGATGCAATGACATTGCCCTAATTCACCCTATATCAACATCAATTAGACCTGGAAAATCTACTCACGTCCACTCTATTTGTACCTTATTCCGAATGACACCTTTTGAAGGCACCATTACACTATTCTCAAATAGTGTCCATCGGTCCACTCTTGTTTCAAGCATATTCCTCAATTAAAGATGATGATGCTATCAGCATTCTTAACCGGTCAAGTACTCCTAAACCTCCTTGAAAAGGCCCAACTATTTCCAAGTCACTGAAATTATAAATAAGAACAAACCAATTTACAAAAGAACTGACCATTTTATCAATCAATAGCATACATGCAAGTCAATTCACAGAAACATCTTTCCTTATTGGTTGATGAGATCGAATTACTCAAAAATGAAGTTGCGTAGATTCTTTTAAGGTGAACATACATGATTGAGTTAAACAAAAAAAATTAAAAAAATGCTGATTCTTCTGAACCTTGTCATCAACTATTGGTCTGTCTTGGACATTCAAGATTTAGTTGAACAAAAAATCAAAAAAATGCTGATTCTTCTGAACCTTGTCATCGACTATTAGTCTGTCTTGGACATTTTTTAGCAATCCTTGACACATGCTTTGGATCTTGACTTAGAGAGAAAAATCTGTCTGCGCCTTCTCCTTCAATCGGCACCAAATAGTCCATTCGCCGTGGAGCACAATCCTTTCCCCATGGGCCACACTAGACCACCAATTCCATATGTAGTTACCTACGTTCCTCATGGTGAATGAGACTTTCACCCAAGATGGAATGGCAACAATTATTGTGTATCCCTGATGACGTAAAGTATGAAGAGCACGCGCAAAATCAATGTCTCCTGAGACAAGTAAAATTGTTGCAGGCCTGCGATAATCCAGTGCAATAGAAACATGTCAACCAAAATCGCCTTGTCGGCAGCATCCTTCCTCCCATTCGGAAGGTGTACAAGATTCACACCTGTCCTGTGATAGGCCTCTGTTATTCGCCTCGAAGAAGAGCTAAAATCTCCGTATACTGATAACTTTTTCACCGGTCCATTAATTGTCGGATGAGCTCCTAAAGCCAGCTCAATGTTCCCAACAACAACTTCTAGACGTACATTTCTTGGTTTGGGACAGTTCTCAATGCCCCCAAAGAATAGCTATCCTATATTGATAAAAATAATATGTTATAATAAATAAAATTTGGTTTTTATTTATTACATTTAAATTTTTGTCAGTATAGTAACCATTTTTAAGGGCATTAAGAATTGTCCCAAACCAAGAAATGTACGTCCAGAAGATGTTGCTGGAAACATTGAGCTGGCTTTAGGAGCTCATCCGGCAATTAACGAACAGGTGAAAAAGTCATTAACATACGGAGATTTTAACTCTTCTCTGAGGCGAATAACAGAGGCCTATCGCAGAACAGGTGTGAATCTTGTACACGTTCCAAATGGGAGGAAGGATGTTGCCGACAAGGCGATTTTGGTTGACACGTTTCTATTTGCACTGGATTATCGCAGGCCAGCAACAATTTTACTTATCTCGGGAGACATTGATTTTGCGTCTGCTCTTCATACTTTACGTCATCGGGGATACACAATAATTGTTGCCATTAAACCTATTTGGCACCAAGTATCGATAAAGCAAAATGGAACAATAGAGAATGAAAAACCAAGATTAGTCCCTACATTAAAAGAAACAGAAGATGGCCCCAAAACATGTGAATTCTACATTGTAGTAAGCCATGAAAACAAGGTCAACAACTTGCAAATGCAGAAGTAAGCAATGCAAGTGACTCTGCTGTAATTAAGAACATAAACCATTCTTTACCAATTTATGGTGATCTAGTATGATTGATGAAATGAAGGCTAACTACCGAAGAGTTACTAAAAACGAATCATAAGCTAAATTGATCATTAAATCTAAACTAATTGACTCTCAAGGTCTGAGATTTCTTCTATGTAGGAAAGAATAAGAAGACATCCAAACCATCTCATTCTTATTCTTGTTTCAAACTCATAATGTTTGCAGCTTAAACTCTGATTTCTCTTGTTGGTTAATAGTTTTAGCTCTATAGAACAGAAATACCTCCTGAAATCTTCTCAAAAGATTTGTAACGTTTGTTTATTATAGGAAAGAGGCAATAAAGGAGATATTCAGCATAATTCCCCCCAGAAATTACAAATTGGAAAATATAAAACATGTGAAAATGAGAAATGAAAGTGGCACATAAGCAACAAAAATCACAACAGTATTTCAAAAAACTATACATCCCTTATAGACAAGAACTAAAATTATACTGATATAAACAAATTGTCACACACACAATGAGTGGAATCTTGAATTAAGAAATTTTGGCCTTTCAAGTAATAATCAAAATAACAAATAAGGGCTTGGACTGTTTAATCTGGAACCCAAGTCGTGATGGACACAACATCATAGTTCACAACAAAAGAAATGAGAAAACATCATAGTATATATACTTACTGGGTTGAGAGTGCTTTGTTCTTTAAAGCTTTCTTCAAGAAAAGTCTGCTTTTCTTTAGTGAGACTGAGTTCTTTCTTGTCCATACTATTTTCTTCATTGTCACTTTCCCTTGAAGAAGCCCCTCTATTTGCATCAGCTTCAAGTGTTACTCTTTCAGAATCTCTTTTTCCGCTTCCATTTCTGTAGACTGAAAAGTCCATCTGAAATGATGAGACTGTACTATTTGGAGATCAAAAAGCTATGGCTTCCTCAGCCTCCTCCACCCCTCGAATCCTCTGGTTTACGTTTCCAGGTTCACCAACCACTGTACGAAACAGAAAAATTTCCGAAGATTAAAGGCCCATTAAGAAAATAATTACAGCAGTAATCTTAACAACAGCATAAAAAATCGTAGATTTCTAGGCTATGGCAAATATCAAAGAACTTCACAATTTTCATTCAGCCAAGGAAGCTGAAGCTTATCAAAGGAAGTTTGACTCCGAGGAACAGGAGAGAAGGGCATAAGATCAAGCTGAATCGATAGATCTGATTCTGAAGAGACTTTGCCTCTGGTTTTAGCTTCAACACTTGTCTCGCCGAAAAATACGTGCAGTGCAATGTTCTAAAAAGATCATCTAGGCTCGAAGCTCGAACAAAACGTCTCTCTCTGCACCTAGATGCTTTTTCTTCAGGTGATTTTTTTCCTTCCTTTCTTTCTTCTTTCCTAGGCGCTCTTTATTAGTTTTTATATTTTTTTCTTTTTTTTTAAAGACTTTTATTTGACTTTAGCTTATTATTATTATTATTTTTAATTAAAAAAAAACTTTTCATTTGACTTTAATTTCAAATTTTTAAAAGATTTTATTTGTACAAAAGTTAAAAATAACTTTATCTAAATAGTTAAATAAGATTAAGCTATTGTGCTATCTACATTATGTAATTATGATATTGAAACTTGTTATTTTGTTACAAACTCCAAAAGCATGTATGAAGTTTCTATAAATCTATTAAGTATAACTTGTCTAATTAAAAATTAAAATTATGAAAACTATTCTAATTTTTGCATTCCGAAAACTTGAAAATTGTATAATTGGTTAATAGTAGGAATTATTAAATAAATATAGTATTTTATAATTGTATATGTTTGATATGTATTATTTTAATTATTAAATGATCAGAAATTTAAAATAATATTAAACATAAGAAAACGCTTTTTTTATGCTTAAGCCTCACCTAGACTCACTTAAGCTCATAAAACTTGAAATTTCGAATCCACGCTTTACACTTTTTAAAACACTAGTAGTGGGAAGGAGATAGAAAATGCAGAATGAGAAAAGTAGGGATTTTCGAGTAAAAAAGGGCGACTGGAAGGGGAAAAAGTAATAAAGGTGAACAGCAGTTCACCTACAGGTGGAAACCCAGAACCCGTTTACACATGGAAAAAAAAAAAAATTAACCAGTAATCTTAACATCTGCATAAAAAAATAGAGATTTCTAGACTATGACAAAGATCAAAGAACTTTACAATTTTCATTTAGCAAAGGAAGTTCGAGCTTATCGAAGGAAGTTTTGACTCCTGGGTGTTGGGATGCAGGCCCAATAGTATATTATGTCGTGATAAAATAATATTTTAAAACAAATAAAATTTGATTTTTATTTATTTTATTGCATTTAATATTATTTGAGTATGCGAATTAAAGTATCTATGATCACTTGAGGCTACTTGCATTGAGAAGTACAGCATGTCATAACTTATATTTTGATCATAAAGAATTTGTTCACAATGTATAAGGGTTAACAATTTGTACTGAAATGTTGCAATGTTGACTGATTCACAATACGGATTTGTGATTTATCCTTATCACAAAATAGTTAAAGGTGACACTAGTATACTTGGAATGCATTGAACGGACCACATATCGAGTTTAATTCTACAGTATGACCATGTGGAGAATTAAATTCCACTTGATTGCCGATTATTTTGTCTAAATCCTTTAATAGAGTAATGTATATTTTTTCGTGACTTTGGTTCTTTGATTCATCAATGGGTAAGATTAATTTGATTGGACAAATACTCGATAAGTTGGAAGTTTGAGAATAAGCGAAGTAGAGAACACGAATTCGTACAGGGAATCGTCGTCCTCAAAAATGGGAAAAGTGACTACTTGGGTATTTTTAGTCGAAAGATTAAATTCTAAGCTTAGTGTTTTGCGATGGTTAAACTTCAACAACACGTGTTCACAGGACCATTGAAGTACTTGAGTAATTAGAGGGGCAAAACGGTCATTTATACTCATATCTAATTATCGAAGGGAATAAAATACATATACGACAAATCGAAGGAAAGTATTACAAATTTATTGGCTTCTGTGATCTTATATATTCCGAGAGTTCAATCTTTTGCATTTATGGCCAATTAGATAGGGTCTAATTATTGAAACTTGAATAATATATGTCCGATCATGTCCCCACAGTAGCTCTATAAAGTATTGGGACTTATTACGGTAATTATAATAGTATTGGGCTTAATTATAATTATAATAAAGTTTTATACTTAGTTTTAATTGCTATAAAAGTTGTGAACTTTAATTATAATTGTAATTAAAGTTCTAGGAATACATATGTAATTAAACGTAAATTAATTGGATGTGGACTTTAATGGTCCGTTTAATTGCAATGGTGAAAAATGGGTGGCAAGAAATTGAATTTCTGAGAAAGTAATTGCCTAGAAATTGTTTTGCAGTGAATTATTAAATGTGTTTGATTGGTATAATTTTTCATCTAGAAAATTTTTAAAATTTTGAATCTTTTTGTGTCCGTTTAGCTTTATTTTACATGAAAATTATCCATTAAAATCATAATTTTTCTCACAATTTGTTATAAAATTTGTTTCCATTGCCAAAAAGTAAAAAATATAAAATAAAAAAATTATTTCCTAGAAAATCATTTTTTCATCAAAATTTAGTGTTCACTTGACTTGATTTTACATGGAAATTGTCCATTAAAGTGAAAAAAATTTACAATTGATTATGAAATTTGTTCCAATTACAAAAAAAAAA